ATTTTATTACAACTCATAGTCCTCTTCACCCTTTACACAGGATAAAGGAGTTAAGAGGATTACTTTGATCCACAATACCTACTTATTAACTTTTAAGTCTATTATACGCCTAATCCCCGATTTACTCGGTTCAAACAGTCGAATTGCCCGACTTTGGTTTAACGCGCTCGGAATATACGAAAAGATTTCGTATCAAACGACGGATAAACGATAACAAACATAAAAAAAATTAATATTATAATGCCCCGGGCAACATTCTCTCTATAGCCAAAGCTTTGATTCATAAAGGGCCATTAAACGGCTTCTGATTAGTTTTTTTACGAGGAAGCAGATTGATTTTTATGAACGAGGAATTATGAAGCTGTTCGTGTAAATCGAAAATTAAATGTAATCACATAAGTAACATAATGGTCAATGGACGATGTAGTTTATTATTTACGAGTATGGAACTTTTTTTTTTACCTTAAAAAGAGAAATGAGATTAAGGGTCACTTTGAATCGCCGTTCGAAGGAGTTCTCGGGGTTTTCCAACCATAAACACCCAGATGGTACTCTGTAGTGGTCGACTGTAGACAACTCGGCGCCCATTTTATGACTAAGTGGGGGCAAGAAGCTTTGAATAGGGGAGAGGTGACTGGTGCCCATCAGGTGCTAATTGCTCTGCTGGTGGCTGAATTCAACCTGAAAGCACGTCCCGCCTCTGTCACCAGTTTGCTGGTGTATACAGCCCCTTCCATAAATCCCTATTAAATCGGATTTCGCGTCGAAAAGGTGCGTTATTATTGAACACCCGTCGTTGCTAATTAGGAGATCCAGACGAGGCGTCGGCGACAGGTTTGCTGGGAAATACGTGCCCTGTCGAACAAATGTTTTATTGCTTATTTTGAGCATTTAGAAGGCGCATGCTAACGATTAAGTTACAACCTGTGATTAATTCGAATAAAGTTAACGATCGTCTCCTTTTTTCCTTCTCTTAATCACACTGGTCAACAAATTTTATTCCTATTTATTTATATATATATTGAGATAGAAAATAATGGGATAGAAACTTACTTGGTTCTGGTTCATGATTCATTTAATTCAAGCGCGGTAAAAACACATTATTTTTAAATTTGTTACGTAGAATTTTCATAACATTAAAATTAATGAAGTTATATAAATTTTTATGTCTTTATGTACTGTTAAACGATGGGAATTGAGGATCGAAGCTGCAGACTATTTAATTGTTAGTAAAAAAAAGGACTCGAAGGAGTCGATAGGGACTCTTAAGCCTGCAGCCGCGCACGACGAAGAACACATTTATGTACATCGCGCGTATACGCCGATTAAACGAGACCGAGCACGGGCAATTAAGTCCGCGTTAATATCGTGAAACGGTGCGTGCGGCACAAGTATGCGCACGTGCATAAGCTTTTCGGGAAAGCAGTCCACACTCTACACAAATATCACACGTAACTCATTTACCGCACAAATGGGCATACCGCATAAATTTCGGTTAATGATTATTTTTTTTTTTTATAGACATCATAGTTCTTCGTGTATCGTAGCTATTCATGCTCACCGTGCATTCCTTTGTAACAATGTTGGTCGCTATCAAATATTATCAAGTAGTTCGTATCAAAACACGAGCCTAAAGACAGTCCAACATCCAAAGGCTATTCATCCACCGTCAGATAACAATCTTTAACATTAATCTGCTTTCACTATAAAATATCAAGAAAGATAGATCAGAGGAACAAAGCGCTTCCAGGTTCTACCATCAATTTCCTAACACGACCACCCAGGCAGCGATGTTCGCCAATGTTTTCTTCAAGGAATGCGAACAATCAGGTCGAAATGCTCTTAAAGCCGATTCACTACATCCACCAGAGTTTTCCTATTATTTTATAGAGAAAACTGTAGGTAACTATTAGGAAAATATTTATGAAAAGATTGAATGAAAAATAATTAATACCTGGGTCCAAATAGAGCTACCGACCGCGGAGCAAGTGTTAAACTAGCTTCGTTGATTGTACGAAATGTTTAATTCACCCAACTTTGATTCTAGCTGAATGTTACAGGTAAAATGGTTCAATTATAATTTCTCTCGCTTTGACAACACTTGAACCACGACGAGCGCGTTCGTCGTTAACGTCGAGACGCGTTTGTCGAAAGTAAAGACATTAGCGAGTTTCATCGCGGTTTGTTTCGCCATCGGATCGCGGTTCTGAGAAGTGAAACGACCAGTAGAAACACCCGAGTCTCTTGTAGTCATCCTCATCTCACTGGATCCTGGCCGCGGTCCAACTGAAAATCAGATCGCCAATAAAGAGGCCGATAAATAACGCGGTCGAACACGAAAATAATACTAGCCGATGATCAAAGTCGAATAACTCGTGGCGTCTTCCTGTTCCCGCAGGACGGTAATTTCCTCAACCCCTTTCAGTTCTACTGGATAGCCATTGAAATTTGCTCCAACCGATCCTACGTCCAAACAGTCTGGACAATGGAAGTAAAGGAGAAGAAATAAATATACCGAGGAAGTAAACGTGTCTGAAACAGAAAAAAATAATAGGCAAAAAACTGATAGATTGTTTGGGGAAATAAACAGTAAATGAAAGTGTAATAAGTATTTTTAGCGAAGTTAAATGGAAGAACAAAAATGTGTACAGAAGAAATCATCGCGTCGGAATGTCACGACAAAGGCACACAAAAAGACATCGAGTGAAGGAAAGAAGTACAAAAATAAGCAAACGAGTATGTAGTTCGTTGAAACGACGAAAGAAAAAGATTTTGAAAGGTTTGAAAGCACGCCGCGGGGAAATTGTATCGAGGTGGCCGCGGTTTGTCCGGTTAAGGACAAATTTAGTACTTTTCTTCGCAGCCACCCCCGCAACTAAATTTCTCGCAGGCGTGGCGCGACGTCGAACGAAATGGTAAATCACGAGGCGGAGGCAAAACCGTGGAACTCGTGAAAGCTCGAAACCGCGGAATTTATAGACACCTTCAAAAGAGCTTTCGTCCGTCACAACAAACACGTCCTGGCAATCCAGCACAGTCATCCATCACGCTGGTCGCCGTGGCGGTGCGGGTCTTGGGCGCGATTTTGAATCGTTCCACGCCGCTTACATTAATTTCAATCCCGAAAACACTTCCACCGGAGCTATTTCAGATTAAAACATCCACGAAGCTGGCGCCGATATTTAGCCCCCTTTAAGCGTCCAATTTGCACCTTCTTCGTCGGCCATAAAGACGTCATCCGTTGACCAGAAGAAAACTTGACAGGGAAACTTTGAAGCAGAAAGCTTCTACAGTGGGTGGATAAATTATTAATTGTACGCGTTAAAAGTACATTTAACAATTGATGAAACAACTATTCTCAGTGAAATTAAAATTACTTTGCCCAGCTAAAACGTTTACTGATTTTTTCAGAAAATAATTACTATTCCAGACACTTTTAAATAGATCTTGGGGGCAGCTTCAACTACACTTCAAAGAAGAAATCGCCCCGAGCGGAGAAGTTTTAAATTCTTATATAAAATTTCGGAAGTCAGCTAGACGATAACTGTTACTCGTGTAAATTAAAGAGTCTGTATAGATGAAAACAATGAGAAGCATGCATTAGGTTGAACGAGAACGGAGAATCGTCCGTTTTCGCGCCATTCCATAGCAAGCGAATGCGAAGTTTCGCAGATCAGAGCCTGTTCTTCGCGATCCCTCGCCTTGTTCTCACTGGCTCCTCGCGATATAAATATTCAACATGGGTCGTCCCTCAAGACTTCCATCTTTCTTCTTCGTTCCTGTCGTCTCTCTTCCGCCTGAGTCGTCCATCTCTCTCGGGGACGCGGGAAATCGTAAACTCGTTCCTTCTTCAGCCCCTACTCCCCTCGATCGCGATCACGGAGGACCGTCGATCTTTTCACCGTCCTCTTTCACCTCGATGATCGAACAAATTGAAAAGAAATTGATCTTTATCTAATAGCTTTTTTGTTAGTTTAGCTGATATCTTTTTGTTCCTAAAATTAAAATTACCGATGAAAGTAAAGAGACTTCAGTTAATATCTGTTTGAAGGATATTCCATAAAATGACTTTCCCGTGGCCTTCGAAGGACTTAGATTGCTGTAAAAATATACATACGTGGTCAGTGGCTGTTTCTTTGCACGTTATTAAGGGAAAATCATTATTTACACACACGTGTAAAAAATCTTTCTATATATTATTAGTTTTGAGAAACAGGACAACTTCAGGGGTGTCCTATTATATTTTTGCGAAGTGTACTTTCGTTAGCCATTGTACGAATAAAAATTCAAAGAACCTCGATTTCCATATTTGTTCCTTGATCTAACAAATTCCTCTAGCCTTCTCTCGGTGGTCCTCTCGCATTGTAGATACAATTCTGTTGCTCTCGGATTCTTCTCCGTGATCAGAAATCCCTCTCCCAGCCTCCTCCTCATCCGAGCCACCATCCGTCCTTCCCTTTCTTTCCACGGGAGAAGATTCGTGGGTGGGGACTAACTGACAGACGTGACGGATAAAAGAAACCATCCGGGCCCGTGGAGTGGCTGCGTGGGAGGTAGAGGGGAGCAGGGAGACAGAGGTAGGGGAAGATGCAACGGCAAAAGGTGGGGGTGCAGCCCCATGCTCGGAGGCGGGGTTCCTTTCTGACAACCAAGAAGTCGACGGAGGCCCTGTTGGTTCAGACGTGTGTTAACCTTCGTGCAGAGACGTGTCTTTGGCGAGAAACCTGCTCGAAGATAGTTGGACGTTTCCCTTATCGATAATATATATTGGTAGTGTCGACTCTGAACAGACGAAGAAAGGTCTCGAGAACCAGCAGGCCGACTGTTTCCGCTCCGAGTTTCGTTTCCTCCGGTGTGTTTTTGAGAAAACAACTTAGTGCGAACAGTGGTGGTGAGAGTGTTCGGGGTTTCGAGGAACCGCGTCCACGAGAGAAGAAGAACCCGTAACAGTTCCGAAGAGAATCGCGTCCTTCATGCGTTGACAGTTCCGACGGGAAACAATGCAGACCACGCATCCGGTGAGCCTTCAGTCGCAGCGTATCCAGGGCATTTACACTCTGGACAACAACGACAGCTCCGGTATCCCCCACAGTGCCGGAAGCTCGGCCAGCAACTCTCCGAACCACTACGAACGGTTTTCACCGCCCACACACCTGATGGATCTCAGCAGCCCGCCGGAGCACAGAGATCTACCAGGCTACCAGACCCATCATCACCATCATCATCACCAGATGATCTACCAGCCACCCGCCTACCCGATATATGGAAATCAGGATGAGACGAAGAGGTACCAGGAGCACGCCAGCAATAAGATACTCAGGGACCTTCAGACGGAGGTGACCGAGTACGACAGACGTTTGCACGACAATTCGCCGGGCTTTCTGTCCGATCATAGTCGAGATCACGAGCAGAATCTCTACCTAACACCCTCGCCCCAGATGTACTCGTCCGGTGGCGAAGAGATCGTGCCCAGGCATCCTCAACAGAGCTACCATCACGTGGAGCCGATGGATTACAAGCCAGAGATCGTGGATTACAAGCCTGAGGTTCTCGAGTACAAACCGGAGATCGTCGATTATAAATCCGAGATGGAGCAGCAAAGGTACAAACAATTGAGTGAGATAATGGAACCGTCGTCCTCGACGAAAAGCTACGCGGTCGAGGGGTCCAGGGGCAGCGGGAAGAGGAAGAGGAAGTCCAGCAGTGCCGAGAACGAGTCCGAGACGGAGAGCAACGCCTCCTCGACGAAGTCGAAGTTCAGGAAGAAGAGCTGCGCGACGTTCGAGGAGATCCAGAACCAGAGGGTGATGGCGAACGTAAGAGAGAGGCAGAGGACGCAAAGTCTGAACGAGGCGTTCGCGTCTCTCAGGAAGATCATACCGACGTTGCCCAGCGACAAGCTCAGCAAGATCCAGACGCTTAAGCTGGCCACCAGGTACATCGACTTCCTGTTCCAGGTGTTGCACTGCAACATGGAAAACACCGACGCCGCCGATGATGTTGGTGAGTCTTATTCACTTTCTGAAAATTGCAATTGAGTGACTACTATAGGCCAATCTACTTTCACGATGTTTGCGTTGAATTTAAATTAATTGAGAGTCTTATCTTTTTGTCCGTGATATCGTGTTTAACGCAGCAGCGATTGTGTTATCAACTCCACAGATTTTTCAATGATCCTTAAAACAGGTCCGTCAACCATGATTGTACTGTAACCTTCATGATATAGCGAGGCCGTAAATTTCTTTGGGCATTAAAACAGATACGTATAAACTGCCGAAACAGATAAAGACTCAGGCCACGGTCAGCGCTGGAAAAAAAAGTGTCAACGTATCTACAATACTTAACTATATGTTTACAATATATGAAATCTATGTTTCAATGCTCGAAGAAATTTACACGAAAATCCATATGTTCCCTGCAACAGAGAAACGAGTTTAATCGTTTAGATGTTACCTCATGGTCACCGTTTTTTTTCTAAACACACAGTCTGCTTTCGTACGGGATACTTGAGATCGTTTGGACTAGGTCTATGAAATCCTCTGTCTCCGTAGCAATTCGTAAATATTGTGCCTACGGCGAATCGACTCGAGTACCCGGGAAAACTATGTTTGCCCAAAAGGGTAGCAAGACACTCGCGTAAGAGCTTCTGGGGTGGCGCGCGACTAGCCAGTTTCTGACTCCCGAATCTGGGGACCCCTTCATCGCGAGGTTCTGTTTAATTACACTGCACTGTAAATAAACGCTGACTAGTCCCTCTAAACACGTGGTACTTGGTTACCGATGAACACGCCATGCGACTCTCCCTATATCTTCGTAACAACTGGCTATGGGACACTGCACCATTATTACAATTGTAACTATTAGGAGTATACAAAAAGTTTCTTTTATGTCAGTTTAATACTTAAGGGGGTACCTTTCTAGTAACTTTCGTTTTCCAAAGAAGTTTGGAAGCCACCGTTTTAATTCCTTCGTAAGAATCCACGTCCACGGAGTTGCAACAACTTCCGTCGACGGGACAATTGCGACAGAAATGCGTCGACACGACGAACCGTCCTGCTCGTGGCGGGTAAATCATCCCCCAGTATCTCATTCAGAGGCTGACAGGGTACAAGACGACCTAGTACACGGCAAACCGCGACGAGATACGCCATAACTTCAGGTGACTAAAGATATCGAGACGTTAACTGGTCTGAAGGCACCGATCGCAGTCCCCTTTCAGCGAGCAACCGGGACGCAAATACCAGTTCTTCCTTTTATTTTTGCTGATACGCCGTCGCGTCTCCCCTCGTTTTGCTGTGCGTTTTTTTTTACCAGGTCGGCAGTACCGCGATCTTTTCGGGCCGTTCTTTTGCCAGGGACGCGGCGTTCTTAACTTTCCGATCGTTGATTAGACCTGAAAGATAGGTCAGAAACAATTGTTTGATTGTACGCGAAGCACTTTTCATTTCTCGGTGCAAATATTATAGATGTAGTGAATTCTACACAGTGGCGGATTTACCACGAGACTGACAAAGCCTCAGTTTTGGACCCTCGCTTAGAAAGGGTCGTCAAAGAACTTCATGTTTGTCGATTTTTGGGATTTAATTATTATTAACTTGGCTTGTATAAATTCCCATGTCCATAATTCGAATACCAGAACACTTTCGATAAAAGACCGAATTTTCTTTTTCCAGGTGACAGAAATCCAAGAAGCGCGGTATTGGCTGCGAGAGAAATAACCTCGTCGTCGTGCAGCTATATGGCGCACGAGAAGCTCTCGTACGCTTTCAGCGTTTGGAGAATGGAGGACGATTGGAACTCGAACCTCTAGACAGATCTTCCATCAAAAGCTCCGCGCTTCAGTCACGAGGTAAAAGTCCAACGGCGACTAATCACTCTTGAATTACAAAGAGCAAACGTAAGAAGAGAAGACTAGGTCAATTTCCTATTTTCGCCGGCTCGAAAGTACCGGAATTGCTTATAGGCGTAAAAGACACTAACAAGGGAATATTGTCAAGCAACAATCGTCAATTAGGATGAAGCTTAAACAGTTCTTACGAAAGCATTCGTATTATTCAATATAAACAAAAACATGGAATAACGTTTTTTTTTCTAAAATAGTTTAACTATTCTCTTTTAATTCAAGGCATGTATTTTTATTTTAATAAGTAACTTGAAGATTGATCACTTGGAGATGTTCCCTTGCAAATACACAGCGTTGCTACGCGTTTGAGAATCGGTGGACTCGTGCTCGAGCGAGTTTCTAGGTGCGATTTCCATTTGTTTCCTAGCCAAATCGAGGTGAATATTTCTTAGAATTAGGGCTGGCATTGTAGGATTTTTCTGTATTCGAATATTCGACCATTTGAATGCTTCAACTATTCAAGATTCGGCGAATATAATTGAAATATATCGTTCGAAGACTATGTTGCGGCAGAGTGGGAGTTTTTTTAGTACAGAGTTCGGGAATCGAAGGTCTTCGATCTAGAACAGAGACGAGTAGTGTTTTAAATGCAATTAGAGGGACCACTGTCACACTTCCGCGGATTCAGCGATGAGTAATTAATAACGATCGTTTCTCCTCACCGTCAGGACATTGTTGGCTCTTTGAAATCCAATCGCGACAGTTCATTTCGCGACGCGATAGATCAGCCGGTCCCGCTAGTCTCCGTGATAATGTAAGCCAATAATTTACGTCTTCTCGTCGGTCTATTAACGGTGCGACAAGTTTGGCTGGCTGGCCAATTCCGTCGTAATTTCTGCACCGTGTGAAATCCTGCAATCGTGTACGCTGGTCTTATTAGATCGTGCTCCCCCGCCGTCGGTATCAATCTCAGGAATGATCCGTTCCTGGTTAGAAACGGAGATCGTGAACTACTCCGACTTGCGAATCTTGATTCAGGTGATCTGAAATGAGCATGATCATCACAGTGTATTAGTTAGGGGCGTGATCTGGCTTTAACGTGGCTCGGTTGACCAGTTCTTGCAGCGCTTGTTAACATATATATCAGACTAAATTCATGACATTTTTAGATAATTTTTAATATTTTTCGCTATTGCATCGAAGTGGTGAAGCTGGAGCAGGATAGTAATCGTCGAAATTTATAAACATTTTCCAGCAAACATGTAAAACCGTTTCTTTGTATACGATTAAGTCATTCAATGGTCGATTATTGCTGGGATTTCCGACATCATTTTCTCTTGCTACTTTCGCTACCTCTCGAAACGTTGGTGGCGAATCCGTTAGGGTGAATTTATGGCCTCGGGAGTGGATGCCTCGAGTACTGCTCTCTAACTTTGTTCCGTGCTTTCACCGTAGCAATCGATTCTAGTTTCTGTTATAACCAATTGTGAAAATGAATATTAAATTAAAATATTCGCTCTACATTTTATGTCCAAATCAGCTGATTTAAATTTTTAAATGAAAACATCACGAATAAATTAATATACGAAGCAACTCGAATCTCCTTTAAAATCTTCCTTTTCTGGTTGAACGACGAGCACGGTTGCGTCATTCGTTACAATTTTACAAGTTCTTTTTACGACCGAAGATGCACAGTCCCGACGCTGTGGAAACAAGCCCTAACCGGCCGACAGAGTAGATGAAACTTAAACAAAACAACGGCGGAGCAGCGTTAACGAGCATTTTGGCGCCGTTACGTCGGTCGGTGCACGATTTTTTCTCTTCCCTCCCCCTTACTCCCTTCGAACCGTTCGGAGGAGGATTCTCTTCGATATCAGGCCGACGGGAGCTTTGTTTCTGAATCGAACCAACGACCGTGTGAATATATCTCGAACGCGGCCGGTTATTTTAAACCGACGGAAGGAAAAGTTGCGCCGCGTTTGACTGGCTTAACGAAGACACGCCGCGTTAAATCCGCCAGCGTCTTTATTGCGGCACTGAATCTTCATGAAAAAACGCCATCCTTCCAAACGAGGTGCCATCGGCGTTCCCCTCGAGAAGCTGTCACGATCGCCAGAGAATGCTCGGGGAGTATGCACGTTCTTTTTTCGTCGCATGCCTTCTTTCGGAAAGTTTTTCGAAAGGTCTGCCCGACGTACAATACTTTTTCTTCGCGAGTCTCCCGGAGGACGGAAGAAATAGGCAAATGGTCGATTTAAAAATAATACTATAACCCTTGTGTCAATAACCGGATACCAAGACGTACTCTTTCTCACGTTTCATTACAAAACGGTTAATGTTCTTGTAATACCGCAAAATCGGTTTGGATCCTCGTTCCATAGACGATTCTGATCTTTTCACGATTCTTTTTTTCATCGCAGCGAGGGAAGACTGTATGAATTGGATGGTTGGTCGGTACCGTCTCGTTTCCGTTATTGAAAGAAGGATTTTAATTGCAGACTTAAACATTCATCAACGTTTCTGTTCGACGACTGTCGCCGAGGACACCTTTAGTAGGCGCGAATATTCTTTTTCGCGACGACGTGCGCCGGTGCCAACCATAAATCTCTTTGAATTCAATTAGCCAGGAAGTCTGACATCCCGTGACTTCTCGGGGAATCAGGACACCCAATGATGCTTCCTCTGCAGTTCTCTTTGCAAGAGCAAACTCATCCTCCAGTCGCGAGACGCCCTGAAAAACGCATCGGGCGCGTCTTATTTCCGTCCTTGAAACCATTTCGCATTTAGTAACTGGGCTGGTTCATTTCTTTCATTTCGTCATCGATCGCTGGATCAAGTTCTTCTCTTATGTCTCCGTGATATTTCTCTCATAGCAACGTCTCAGAATTGGTAGAAGTTTTGTTGTTTCAATGGCAACAGGAGGAAGCAGTAAAGTATGTTGCTGGAGCAGTTATACCGAGAGAAATTATTATTACGACCGATACACTGTACGCTATGTCTTAGAATCTCTAACACTAATTTCATAGTATAATACTGCAACATTACTTAATATACTCACAATTGCTATTTTGGCAGTCACGATTACGTCTTGCATCTAAATCAACGCTTCGTGGCTGAAAATCGCGCCAAGATTTTCGATCATAATTCAGACATCCCATTTCGGTCCAGTTCTTTCTAATTTCGACGCTAAATTGTACATCCTCTGGTATCGCCCGTAGCCAGCCCAAAGAACATAGTTGCTACCGAAATTATAGAAACGAATGAATCAAGTTCTTAGTATATTATCTCTGACAAAGATCTAAACTGTCCTTACTCGTACCAGTTCTCTGTCCAAGATTCTAGGAGATTTTGTATCAGATCCAAAAGAAAGATCCCCTTCTCTCTTCCTAGGAGGGACGATCCAATCGACCGGCGAACAGAATCGTCCAATGACGGTTCGAAAACTTTTTGAATTCAATCCCAAGTCTCGCGTAATTGTCAGTGATTCGTGGTCTACTAAAAATACGGCTCCAGAGACGAGCAACCGAGTGACAATCCCTCTCTGAATCCCGCGCTGACATCCATCGTGCCCGCCAAGTTACTCAAAACAATGTTTGACACAACGTTAGCCGAGATTCACTGCCCCGATAATGGATCGCTGATGGTCTTTGGTCGTTTTTAGCTGATAGAATACGAAATCCGCGCCCTCGAGAAGCGTGACAGTAATTCCGTTGCTCTCTCTTGATTCTGAACACCGTTCGGCCGAGTATTTTCTAAAATGTAAATACTATTTGGTAAATTGTCCAAGATAATCGACGACTTCCTAAAGTTACTACGTTATAATCCCGCCGAAATGTATAAATTATAGAATTCTGGCGGGAACATACAGCGGACAAAACGATTATGGGTTCACGCCAAAGGATCGCCTATTTAAATTACTTCATAGTTTCGTTACATAATGTTATATTAGTAATTTTAATTTTATTCGGTAATTGCATTCTTCTTAAACGATTCGTTTTTCGAAATATTTTATCAATTCGATATAAATGAAAAAGGAACTCGATATGAATTATACGACGCCAAAATACTGTGACTTTTATTATAGACAGTCTATTTAATTCTAAGGAATAGTTATACCGATCGATGTATATTTTATGAGAAATATATTAGATAAGAATCGAAGACATGTTGAAAAAACATTGAGGGAATCAAAGATAGTGTAAATAATGTTTGACGGCGTCTATCGAATTTATCTTTATACTTGTTTCTCGATGAAGCAAAGAAGAGAAGCAATTTTGCATTTTTGTTTCCTTTCGGTGCACAGTGATCTCGATTAAATATTTTTATTTTAAAAAAAGGAACAGAAGATTCTAATATTCTTGAAGATTTAATATGTTAGACTATATTTTGTAGAGTGCAGTGTTTAGAGACACAGAAAGATAATGATCCTCTCTAGTTTTGATAAAAATTGTGATTCTGAAGCTATTGTGGAATTCGAAATTGCTATCTATAGAATATCTAAAAAATACTGTAGACATTAAGGTGGTGGTCTGTTTCTAACAAGATACTTTATACATAGAGATAGAGCACCTCGATAATTCTTTTCCATTTCCATTTAAATCGAGGAGATGAAACGTGCCTTGTATATATGTAATACGGAAAACCTATTTAATCGTAAGCATTTCAAGCTGCCTTCGAGTGCCTTGAACATACAGCTAACAATACCAAAAACTCTGTATATAGTCGACGTAAGTTAAGTATGTAACGTTAAGATCCATTGTATATTTTCGTACAAGAGACTGTAATATAATAGTATGTATATTTTCACGAACGATTTACCGCCTAAGTTAAGACTAGATTAAGTTTTACGTATGTACAACAATGGCCGGAAGACGCAATAATTTATTATTCCTCGTTCTGAATCTGAGGGCCAGCGACGAGGACCTTTGTAAATATTCTGTAAATAATTCGTGACGATTCTTTCGCCGCGAAATTTTTTCGTTTTTTAATTACACGTTGTCCAAATTAAAGAATAAGCTTGACGACCAAATCGAAAACTGAAATATTCGACGAGCTTATTTGTTTACGTTGTATTCAGTAATTTTCCATAAAGACAACGTTAAGATGTACGTATTCACACTGTTAGAATAGTATTAATAATTTAATGTTCCCTTTCGCAACGAAATGGTCAAAATGGTGGACGAGTTCCAAGCAAATTGGTGTAAGTCGATCGAAAAATATTCTTTAATTTCTTTTTCTCGAAAACACTGATGTAAACTTTGTAACAATGTTAACACAACGATATTGAAGGTTTATTTCCTAGTTATTTAAGCTGTTGACTTACACCGATGCTTAAACCATGTTAAGACGCGCGCCATCTTTGTGGAAGTGGCGTTTTCCTGCAGTTTTTAGCGGATACAGCGAAATTTAGATTTCCATTCCTTAAACGGCGTGTCGTTCGTGCATTTTATTTGTATATGATCGAGCGTCTTTCTAATGTACAGTATTTTTATATCGATTGCGAGCACTGCAATAAATGATCATCGGACCTGAATTTTATCGCCTTTCATTCCCGTCTTGTCACTATCAGGTTTTCATTTTTTATTCTGGTAATTCAAAATTAACAACGCAACGCTTCGAACAAAATAAACTCAAAATAACGTAAAACGCGATACAGCGCAAAGAGGGACATTTTTTCGATCGATTGAGAATCTTTTAAGGTAATCTTATCGTTCAAAAGTCTTGCTTGATTTCGATCGGTCAATGAACAAAAATAAAAAAGAATTCTTTCAACCCTAAACGTCACGCGGTCTCGACCGCGCTGAAAGACGTTGCAGAAGCTGGTAGCGTTTAAATCTCAGTGTTGCGTTACGTTCGACTTCTGACGTCACGGATGCTCGTAACGACTCGCGCCACAAACATACGGATATTCCCAGATCGTAAATTCGGGTTAGCGCGAGGAGACGAGCAGGGGCGGAGTGGAGGGAAACGAAATAGCGACGAGAAAGAGGCGATAAATAATTTACCGAACGACGTCCGATGGCGGACTTAATGGATTAGACGTGCCAGTGCAAATATTATTGCAAGGAAACGGCGGCCAGCGACGCCCAGTCTGCCTTATTGGCCAAAAACGATGTCAACCAATCGTCCTTCGGCCAATCCGCGAACACCGGATGTTTGCTTCGACCTCTTCGACCGGTTGTCGCTCCCCCTCCAACGCGATGCCGCCACCCTAACAGCGAACGTGAGCGCAAAACGCGACAAACAGGCTGATGTAATTCACCTACTTGCCCACCTCTGCCGACCTCCTAACCCTTCTACGACCAACCAAAATGCTTGGAATTCGAAAGGGTTCCAATATAAAAAGGGAATAAATTTGTTCCATAGCATCTTCCACTTCGTAATTAACTTCTTTTTGACCATTTTTGTTCTCATGCAACGAAATCGTCATTGCAAATGATATAATCCTTCGAGAACCGTCTTCCGCGATTAGCTTAAATAATCTCGGGCAATTCGTTTGACTGTATAAAATCTTTTGTTACCCCTTCGCGACTGGAAGCGAATCCGTAGGGTAGTCGTGATCATAAAGCGGCCACCGGTAACTGAAAGACCTGTCACATTCTCTCATGGTGATCCCAGAAATCTGAGAAACCACCTAAACTAAACATAGCGACCCACCACGCTTCACCGGTTTATTTACGAACGCGGGGATTCTGATGGAAATCCTGACAGCGTTCTATGCACGACTGTAGACCATTTTTCTCTTTTTTCTTCCCTTTCTCCAACTGGGACTTTGCTTTTTCAATTTCAATGCGGTCCGATATGTCCTCCATATTACATACGTGTTAAGCTAATTCAGTAGTACACCAGGAAAGGGTGCTAGGATACAATTGCAACCTCTTTCCAATGCTACAAATATCCATTTTTTATATGCAATAATCGCGGCAGATTCATCTAAACGAAAGACATCATCGTTATTTTTTTTTAGAAATAAAGCTGTCGTTCAAACGAAATGCAACGTTATGTTGGGGGTCGCGTAGTGTTACGAATACGAACAAATATTAAAATTTTAATTATTCACTATTTTACTGGCACCACTTAAAATCGACCTTGTGGTTATCCTAAATTTAATTTAAGTGGAGTTGCATATTTACACAAAGTCTCCCGTTTCAATGGATGGCCAATTAATCTCCAACCCTACCACTTAGGTACGAGTGCTTCAACAACCACTTCATCCTACCATCGGGAGATCAAGAATCCTCATTCCTCGTCCACTCGTCAAGTCCTTCGGGGTTGCGAAGGTATAAGCTCTCCCTCTCCTCCACCTATTGACCAAAAAGTTTACACTTGAACCTCGACGACTGAAATCTCTATAAGATTACAATTTTGTTCATTCCCTTCGATTCAAAATACAACCCCCCTCCCTTTGAGCTCCTTCAGATTCGTTACTGTCCGTGTCACCCACAAAAGGCTGGAACGGAGTCCGCGATCGTCAGGGATCAATTCCGCTAACTAAACGGAAGATAACTCCTGGCGTTCTACCTTAAAGAGGAATTGGATGAAGGTTAAAGAAAAGAGAGTGTGCGACAAGCGAATCGCGATGGAGGAAAGGGAACGGATAAGGGGGCTGGTAGACGCGACGGAAAGACTTAACATCTGTTCTCTGTCTTTTCCTACTAAATCACCGCAATTTCTGTCACTCCTTTCGTTTTCCCTCGGATGATGAATCGTCCGTCGTTAGTGCCAACGACTGGCCCCTGTACAGTCCCCACCGTGCCGGACGTATATATATCTGAATAGAAGCAATCCAATGGCACGGCATTTATTCGAGCACCGGGGAGAAACCGTTTTACGCCAGCAGTAAACCGTTCTACGGCGGTTTGTGCCACTTCAACGGGACGTAGGTAAATACACCAGCGTGGAAACCACCCTATCAGCAATGCCTGGACGCCGATAGACGCCGATGGAAATAGAAACCGGCGAAATGTCGCGGTCTTCCGTCCTTGTGCTTTTACAGGGGACGACGTTTCTATCGGAACACCAGCACTATTGCTGGATGTAACGGCTTAACAGGTGCGATTTTTATATGCTGTAAAACAAAACTCAATCATATTACTAAAAGATTTCTGCTCTGAGAAAATAATAAGGAAGTCATACGTTAAATAATTAAAACTTTATTAAGTTGATAAAAAGCACGTTCCTTCCACGGAACATCGCCATATTTCGGTAGCCGATTCGGTTAAGTTCCTCGGGCTCCCGGGCTCCGCGAGAAACACGGATACCAGTGGCGGCTAATTAAGCGGCATAATGAGGTCGTTCCACGAGTTAATTATTTTTGTGACACGGATGAACGGTCCTGTGCGATCGTAGCTCGTCCGGCGGCAGGAAATGGGGACGTAAAATGATTCCCCGAAACTGTTTCGAACCGATTGACGACACTGTACGTCACTTTGCCGCCTCGTGGGCCAATTTCAAATGAATTTACAGTGGATAAAAAAAAGTATTTGTACACCTAGCCACTTATAAATTAGAGTAAATATAAACAACTCGACATAGCTACCTTTTCTTCCGAGATAATATTTATTAGCCGCGTTAGATGCAGAACAAATCGTGCTTGTGCAAAAATATTTGAATCGAAAATACGAATCAACAGAATGCAAAGTAATCTGGTTCTTCGTATAAAAGCGTTCAAGATAGGTACCTAAACAGAAATTATAAGACAGTAGAGATTAAACATTTCTTGGAGAAACCAGCGTAATTTCTTTAACGTAATTTCACATATAAAATAGACCAACCGACTCGACAAATCCAAACACATAGAACGGAACGGAGCCACGTCGCAGACATGTGCATCTTATTTTCGCAGGATCTCAGGCGAAACCAAAGTGTCCTGGCGCCTACTGCGATGATTAACTCTCGAGGGGCGTTCTCGAAACGAAAGGAGGTCGTACGGGGAGGTTCGAAACCGTGGCCCCAAGAAGGAAGAAGTTACGCGCCACGTAGAATACGACTTCCTTGTTATTTCGTGGCCGAATAAATTGCTGTTTGCTTCTTTTGCGGGATGTTTTCGTGGATTAAGGTGGATCTACCAACGACCAATCCACAGGAAGCCTCTACGACAGATGCAGAACCGTTTCAACGCGAGGGAAACTAAGCGCGGGTGAGTTCTAAGTAAATATTAAAGCACCAAGCTGTTGCTCACAGCTTTGCCGGTGTTGAATTCGTAAAGGAAAAGTATAGTCTGTCTTGTCCATAGGGTGATCCATGTACACACAGAATTACAAACCATTCTCTTAAAAACTATGTAGACGTTGATATCTTTTGTTTTTAAGTTAAGGGGTAAGACCACTGTAAAAACCTGAAATAAAGCGTTTCTTTGCGATTTTTTTTGAACGGGTGGAAAAGTGAGTGGATAATAATATTCAAGAATGTTATTAACCATGTCGTTAAGTGTTACAAAAAAAAAATATTTATTTAAAAATAGTGTTGAATTGAGTGTAACTGACGCAAATTTGTATCTGGAAAAAACAAAAAATTTTCTCTTAATCTACATGAGTATAGCTAGAGAAATACGTAGGGGATCTTCGATAAGTTAATTTTAACAATATTTATTGATAAATGATTGGCCCATTTTTTGTACAAAATTGAACTTTTTACTTCAAATGCTCGCCAATCACACAAAAATTAATGTTTCAAAAAACCCCTACGTATTTCTCTATACTCATGTAGATTAAGAGAAAATTTTTTCATTTTCACACGCTTTGCGAGCATGGCTCCAGCCAGCGTCGTCATTTCGCACTATTTTTGAATAAATATTTTTTTTAAACACTTAACGACATGGTTAATAACATTCTTGAATGTTATTATTCTTTCATTTTCCCATTCATTCAAAAACAGTCGCAAAAAAACGCTTTATTTCAGGCTTTTACGGTGGTCTTACCCCTTAACAATTTAACTATCACCATATTGCTATGAGCATATGAAATAATGTAGGCAAATTTTGTATTTGCCTCGCTTTTCGTGAAACCAAGCCGCGGTTATAATATAGATGGCGATATACACAAAACCCGTGGTATGTACGATAAATAGCGCGGACTCTCAATGAGAGCGTCAGTGCGCGCGAAGCCTTGGAATAGTAAATAAAAGTTCGTAGACAGAGCTCGGCGGTAAGTATATTTTTTTTTTTCCGACCACGCCTCGTCCATCGATTGTCTTCCTTCTCGACATAACCTCCCTGCAATAAATTTTATTTTATCCTATATGAAAAATAAAGTTTATACAACATCGATTGTATAAGTTTATCATTAATATCGCGGCTCTACAAAGAAACAGAAGTTTCGATATTGAATCGTCTCAAACTACAACCGTAGGAAATAGGCCCTTATTACAAGTAACTCCTCAATTGTTTGCATAAGACAGTCGTCGTTATTTGAACTGAAATTCGTACTATGACATTTATCTCGAAATTCCAAGTCCGGTCGCGGATCTAGTAACATATAAACACAAAACCTGTAAGAAAGCTTGAAGCTGTCTTCGCAGGATGCATCCTTCCTCCCGAGCGCACACGTACAAGGGACCATTCAAAGAAAATCCTAACTGTTTACCGTTGCGGTAAACTGCGAGCTATCTCACGAACCTCCTCCCTTCCCATTCTCCTTCGCTCGCTGACGATCGATAAACTGTGAATGGTTCTTTACACGCGTCGCTCAAAAACAGTGGGACACGTCTCCGTCCGCGAATGAATCAGGTGAATCCAAAATTGCTACGCATCAAAACAATCATCGATCAAATCTGTGGTCAAATTGCAAAGCCTGATTATGTCACTTTTTCGTCAAAATTTAAATATGTGTTTTTTTCACGTGGATCTAGATGAAATTTATTAGTTTGCAAAAGATGGTACCTGTTTGTCGTTTAATTTCAATGAGAAACGGATCAGCAATTCATGACGTATCAAATCTGTTATTCTAAGATGGCATACCATAATATGTCATATTTGTATAAAATCTCTGTAGGATCCTTCTTCTTATACCGTGATAGGATCCAATTTCTGACGAGCACTAAAGCTAAAACGCCATCTATTTTATGGTGGACATCGTAAACTGTACATGTACATTTCTTTTGGTAGCAGTAGGAACCCAACACCGCTGTTTATGAAATCTATAAACACGAGAAAACAGACTAGAATCCAGTGGGGCCCCAGCGTGGTACTTTAGGGTTAAGGTTTAACCTGCATGACATCACAAAATTCTCACAAGTAAAGGATGTTATAGGGGAGAGGGCAATAGATATAAAACATAGTTGTTTCATTGTTATTAAAATATTCTCGTTATCGATTACGTAACGATCTCTTCAAACAAAAAATCATTTGGATCGAAGTAGTAGTAAATTAACCTTCAACAAGGCCCTAGACAATAATCATTACTTTTCCATTCGTTTTAATGTTAAAAATAATATATTTATAAAACGTAGAAACATAGAAAAGATTAAAACTATTCTATTATAGCGTTAAAATTATTATATTATATTTAAAGAAAATTCTGAATTTCTGTACAATATAATTAAAATGTACTTAACCTAATGTTGAATGAGAACAAAATTAAATAATTTAATTTATTGTATACATTTTAATTTCTGCATTAAAATGGAAGCTATACGATCTCTTGCACTCGGGGCTTTGCAATATTTTTTAAATATTCCAAGTTTTAGAACATCATGAGTACTAGACAATTGTCTGTTTTGTCTCTGTCATAAGCCGCCATTGGATCGACGGATCATTTTCTTCAAAATTATATTTTTCAACTAAGTTCGCTGGTGTTTTTTTTTTTATTTTTCTCCTAATAAGACTACACGTATCTATCTTTCGTGTATAATATTTTAGTTGATATCGAGAAAACTTCAACGGCCTGTAACATGTGACCTTGAAATGATAGAGTATAAAAATTTGTTCAAAATTGTAACGTTATGTTTCGAACACAAACTTTGGTATTTAAGGTTATTCAAACGTCGTACTGTTACAGGGGCTCGACTTGGTTTTGATGTCAATTAAGTCATTATACACTAAAGAAAATGATTCCTCCCTAGAGTGATTATATTAGGATTCCCTGCTTGCATACTAAAGTATTGTGGAACACGGACAATGTTTTTCGAAAACAAAATATGGAAATTGGAAAATAGAGACTGCTCGTATTTTTCAAATTTCTTACCTTAGAATTTTCTGATCAATATACTCTAAATACAAACAAATAATAATAAATAAAACATACCATACAACAAAACGAAATTGCGCAGCGAAGAACAGGTGCAGTTTTGAAAATCGGTTGCAACGACATCTCTGTTCGTCGAACTGCATTAATATAGTTACGATAAGAAACCGCGACTTTTTGTCTATCGTCAGGTAACTGAAACTTTAACACTTTTAATTATAACGCGTACATCGTATTTACACGTTCATTCAGTAAAGTAGAAACAGTTTTTTCACGAGCACACACGAGTAGAAGGCACAAGTATAAACAAGCACGCGTTATCTCGAATTCTTGTGCAGAAAGCGAATAAACGATCGATTGAAATCGATGGTAAGCGAAGACAAATATTTATTTAATATTGCGCGTGTTTAATGTTGTAATTAATGCGAATACGTTCATTTCTTGCAAAAGTAACGTAACATCCGCAATAACTTTTGTTTCGAACGAATCATAATAAACGATGGCACAGTTAAACTAAACGACGAGCGCACCAAATTTTCTAATTTTAGCTTTCGTGTTAATTCTATGCTTTTTTTTTTATTATATCGTACACCCTATTTAATTGTTCGAGTAATGAATAAACGATGTAAGATATGTAACAAAGAAAAAAAATTGACGCATTTTCTTATGTACGAAATTGTTACATTGTTTAATTCATAAATAAAATTGAGGCAGTTTTATGTAACATAAATATCGACTTACAGATCCTATTTCAGTTCTCGTTAGTGTTCTTGGTACACATTGATTGTTAATTATTTTGTATAATGTTACGTTGTTAATCTATAAGTTTAAATTAAATTAGAATCCGTTCTTATACCTTTAGCGAGCACACGTGATATACATACATTGTACATTCAGAAAAGCAAGATTACGTGCTTATTTTTTGAAAATTGATTTTTTAGCAGTACTATCCGGATAAAGAATAAATACTGACACTGATCTCCAGATTTAAGATAAGTTCGTATTCATCAGTTATGTATTTCTTACTAACCTGTTACACATATTTACAAGATCAACATTTTTCACTCGTGATATAAGCTATTTCATTAAGCTCAGTCCAATTCAGTTAAAAATTTTGACTTAGTTTCATTGGCACATCGCAAAGACAAACATCAGCTATTTTATTAACGTAAGTTTGTGCAATTATTTCTTCTTTTATAAGGCTATAATATATCATGGGGCGAAACTTATCATAAGTACACAAATGAATTGGAAATGGAAGTACGAAAGCTATATCAAAATTATTTGATGTTCATTGATTTGGGTCAACGATTGTAACGCGGGAAGCCCCTACGATCTTATTATTCTCACTCTCTCACTCTTTTTCCTTGTTTTCGCTTTTGCTCTTGTACATAATTTATCAAATAATTGCTAAGTATAGGTGGTCCAAGAACTATGCTTTGGAAGTTCGCGTAACAGAATTCAACTTGAGTTAATGATATTGATTGAAAGAATCTGAATCGATAACGGTGTTAAATTCTCAGAAACAAATAAAACCATACGACGCTTTGTTTCCAATACTAAACATTTGGATGAAAATCCAATAAATTTTTACGTTTGACTTGCTGTTATCGTGTTTAAAATTTGCAAATATAGTACAACTTGTATTTTACAATTAACCTTCATGAAAATCTACCAAACATCCACAGTATACTAGCATAGTCAAAACCGAAAGGTTGCATAGTACCATGTAGATAAGTAGATGAACAGGCATGTTGAACTCTAGAAGTTTATACCTCGATCACATTCTTAAGATCTTTACTCAAGATCTGCACGCACTGTTATCACAACTTCTTCTTCTTTCTTATTTTACCTAAAAATCAGAGATGACTGCATTGCGTTCACTTTTAGCTTATTCCATAGCGATGCTCGTCAAAACGTGTTTCACTATATAAACAAATGCCGCAAAGCCGACAATAACAACGAGATTAGTTAACACTCTGTTCAATGGGCTTTGATCTGTTTGAAAGTGATTTTGTGACAAAGATGAACCATTAGGTATATTACAGTGATTTCTCGCCTGTTTTTCCAACTCTTTTCTACGTTCTAACTCTGCTCTTATAACCTGTAACATAAATATTAAATTGGTCATATATACAGTAATGCCCACATAAGTGACCAAGCTCGGGCCCGGCCGCGGTCATTTATGTGGGCATGGTTACTTCTCAGAATTCAATGGAGATAAGGAAAGAGGACATATATATGATGTATCGATAACGACCGACGTCAAGTTACGCTCGACACGCTCGATGGTCGAAGCCGCTTGGCTTTTAAGAATTGGTAAGGATCACCGCGGTCATTTAAGCGGGCAAAAATGCGGTCACTTATGTGGGCACTACTGTACATAATAAATATAGAAGCATTAATAATACCTCAACGGTTTCTGGAAAGAGCTCGCAAAACATCTTGTCCTTTAAATTATATGCCAAACTCTGGACAGCCAATTGTTTTTTTTCATAATCTGTTGTGTTAATACTACCCAGAGTAGGACTTTTTTCAACCTACCATAAAAATAAACATTAGACATTAAACTTTAGTTTAAATATTGATATGTGTTAATGTATTTAGTTACACACCATGAAACTTAGCAGTCCAATAAGTATAGTAGATACACTCCATGCTGGATTCCATGTATCCGGATGAAAGTCAGAAATAGATAAGCATAATTTAGTATTAACTTTAAATCGACCATTTGGTGTACGCATATAAATGCTAGGAGGCTGAAATGGAAATTCTCCAGGAAATATAAGCTTCCCATGATAAAATCCTCCTTCGTACGGAGTTCCCTCTGGACCTTTCACTACATAGTGCCTACAAAAAATATTACATCATACTCATTATCATTCATTATTACTCTATATTTCTAGACACCTACTAATTGTATTGAAATACTTAAAAAATATACCATTCTAATATATTGGAAGGTACTGGTTCTGCAAGGACATAGGGTACAGGGTCCTTCTTCAGACGCAGATAATCCTGTTTTAATATTGCTGTAGCACTGTTTGCTTTTCTGTTCATATTGATAACAAAGTTTATTACAGATGCTATGTAAATATTTATTTATCTCTTGATAGGCAATGTTTCTAATATTTTAAAGAGTATTTCCTTGTCAGAAAGTCCTTTGTGCAATACTTCTTTCTTCTATGTCTGTCAGTAATGTAACACCTTTTGGGTTAATCCCAGTGCTGAAGTAATTCATAGAGCCATAATATCCACATAAGTTTCAATTTAGAAGGTTTGCAACGTGTTTTACGCATGAAACGTATCGTTAAAAATCGTACAGTTTATTGTAACCTGCACATGTGAAGGAATAAGTTTATAAATGATTTGAAACAGGTTACGTTCCACTTGTCGATCAGTGTCAAAAGTTCGAAACTACACTGAAAATAATTTATTATAGAATTGAAAACTGTTCGGTGAAAATCTTTTGATTATCTACCTACCGAATATTCACAAATGACACTAAATTTGACAGCAATTCTTTCATGACAGAAAACATATGACTATGAAAACCACTGAAATATTTTAATTCTCGCAATCAGTGCTACCAAGTTCGTTTGACATATGGTGTTCAATTATCTGAACAATTGTTAAATCATTGTTTTTTGAGTTAGACGTTTACACTTGACACTTCGTCGGTATTTATCTTTTTCCTATCAAAAGTGTAGCGAAAGGAATAATTCAATGATTATTTGAAAATTTTCAATTAACGCGGATCCTAGTAATCATTTGGTAGCATCAAACAAAATATAACATGGACTATACAATGAAATTTAATGTTTTTAAAGTATTTTGTACAATGATTAATTATTTAATTGTATTTCCATTTGAAAGGAGTTGTTAATACACATCCATAACGTTAGAATTCCCTAGATGTTAATGTTTATATAAGAATACATCATTAAAAGTACACATGCCTATATAGACACCTACTTAAGCGTATGCTTAAACAATATTTATTATAATTGTACTGCTTAGTTCTTTAAATTAATAATTATAAGAATGTTGAATTTTTTCCACGCAACTAATGCCTCTTCTCATTTAAAATTTTCCACTTGTAATCCTAACGAATCAATTAGTAAGATTATATTCTAAGCGGTTTTACTGAAATGAGTCTTAATTAATCTCGTCATCGATCAGTAGTCATGATCTTCTCAATGTTACAATTCGAAAGCACATTCAGTATCAATTCTCCCGCTGTTTGAAAGTTCTTTAATCACGATTCTGTTGTATATAGACGACGAACAATATAAAATGTACTCCACCTGTTAATATCAGCCTCAAATTACATAATATCACGGTAGCTATGAAAGATGCAACAAGGAATTTGTTAATGAATGGAGCTTAACATTTGTGACAGTCTCTGCCTCTCACCGACTATCACCGGGAAACTCGATGCTGTTGTTGACATTTTAGATACGAGGGAAACACTTTGAGTTGTATTCATGAACTGTTTACGAGGTTTTTACGATCCTTTTAAATATTCGTTTCAATAAAATTAGTTAACTATCAAGCTTATCTAAAGGATGAGTTCTCCAGTGTCTATGAGCAATAATGGCCCTACGGCTGGTGCTACTGGCATGGAAACAGTAGTGGCTGTAGCACTTGGTGCACTTGCTGCTGTTTTCCTCGGAGCTCTTTTAGTGCTGCTTGTTATTTGTAAAAGACAACGATGTTACTATGTAAGTTACATGTTGTCAATATAATAGAAACTAGAAAATGATTACAAAGTTTCTATGATTTTCTTTTAGAATAAAAAAGATTCTCCAGATTTAAGCTCAGATTTGTTAGAGGGAGAAAATTATTCTGGATTAGGCTTAGATGCATGGGAAAGTGAGGAGTGGTTAGCAGGCGCTGAGAGGTATAATACAATTGTTATTAATGATGTTGAAAAGATATAACAATTTAAAAATGTTTTTCATCAATAAAATTGTACAAAAACTGCAGGTGGGTTGATGATGCTACTGGTTTAGCTCCACTATGTATAGCTGTATTAAGATCTTGTCATGCCTTGGCGTCAAGTCTTACTGCTATTGCAGGAACAGTAAACAGTAACACTGTTCCACTGGAAATAGTGGATGTAAGTGAATAGTTTTTGATCTCGCGAATTCGATTTAATATTCTAAGGTTTTTAACTTTTAGGTTGCTAGACGTATTCCACCTCGTGTCGATGATGTGGTTAGAAGTTTGTATCCACCATTAGATGCAAGACTTTTAGAAGCTAGAGTAGCAGCATTGGTATTGGCTGTGGCACATTTAGCATTAGTGACCAAGCATGGAGTATCAAAAAACCATGCTAGGAAATTAGCGTTTATCGATCAAGCTTTAAGCGATATGGACTCTCATTTAGCAATTTTACGGAATGCAGCTCTGGCACAAGAGGTAGCATGTTCTGTTCCAGCTTCAACACCGGTTTAAATAATTTAATTTCCTGACATGTAAAAAACTATTCTAGTATTTACTATTTCCATATCTTCCATGGTTTTGGGTCTTAATACTAAGTTTCATTAAGATCTACCTAAGATATACCTAAGATATTGAAGGTACACACAGTGTTATGAAAATGTTACGTGTTATGTATTTCTGTTTTTATTATGTCAAGGTCAAAAACCCAACAGTGCAATTTCAAGTTTTCTACCAACAATATTAGTGTTTTACATTGTTTCTAATTACAGTAATTATAAAAATGCATACATTATTTTCATGACGTATTAAAAAATATTGTAAGATATATATTTAAACACTTTTATGATCAGAGAACACCAGAGGTAATATTTTGTGACATGGATATGCGCAGAATTTTAGTCTTCCATTGTTATACTATCAGATTGTTTATATATACTTGAGATAAAAACTATATCTCAAAGATCACGTCATTTGAATTGTATTAAGTATTTATAAGTGTTTACACACATATATTTTGTATATCTATAAAAATTAAATTAATTTATAGATAAATAGGACTTTATAATAAAGCCGAATTGTAAGAAAAAGTCGAATATTTGAAATGTTTTTGTAATATTTAAACGTATTTTATTCTTGTAATATTCTGTAATAATCTATATATATATCCAATTTATATTTCTCACAGTACATTGTTGATATCGGATCCCTAAATTATTAGCATGGCAAATACACCATGGATTAATCTTGTATGTTGTCACAGAATAATTCGCTTTATTATTTAAATAAATTAGCTAAGAAATTCTTGACCACTGATAACGCTACACAGCAGCGCAAATTCAGTGCTAGACACGAAGAAATGTCCAAAAATAAGAGGGGGTAAGAGGCAGATTCCTATATCGGAGGGACAGTATACTGGTAAGAGAAATGGAGCAGAACAAAATATAATGTTCACATTATTTAGTTCTAAATAATTCCTTCTGCCTTTTTTGGTTGTCATTGAGAACTTTGTTTTTAAGATGCTCCTTGTAGTTCAAAATATTTCCACTCCATTTTGTGATAGTACCATTCTCACAAACCCAGATTTCTTTTGCCACCTAATAAACCAAATTTAAAAGATTGTTATCCTTGTTCAAAACTCATGTGGTTAATCTTTTAAACCAAAATATACCTGATTAATCAATCTGAAATCGTGAGATACAAGTACCATTCCGCCATCAAAGTCATTAATTGCGTCGGCTAATGCATCGATTGTTTCCATATCTAAATGATTCGTTGGTTCGTCAAGAAGGAGTAAGTGAGGTACTTGCCAAGCGAGCCATGCAAACACTACTCTGCAACGCTGGCCATCAGACAATTGTCGTATTGGGCATACCTAGACGCAAGAAAACGAAGTAACACTTTTTAAAATGTTGAAAAAAAATCATTTTTGTCGGGTTTTCGAATCTTCTAAACAATCATACTTGTTGACGACCAGTTAATCCGTAACGACCGATAATCTTTCTCATCTCTTCGCGTTCTTTAACATCTGGAAAGGCTTTCATCATGTAATCAAGAGGCGATATATCCAAGTCTAATAGTTCATGTAAATGCTGATGGTATCTTGCTATTCGAAGATGGCTGTTTTTACGTATCATGCCGCTTGATGGAACTAACTGTATTTATCCATGAATATGTAAGTGCTTAAGTCTGCTTTTATCATTGAAATGTATAATAGATTATGGTACTTACATCTCCATATAACAGTTTTAAAAGCGTACTTTTGCCGGCACCATTTGGGCCAACCAACGCAATTCTGGTGTCCAAATCGATACCGAATTCTAAGTTTTTATAGATCCAAGGCGAATCTTCGTTGTAACGAAAACTAACATTTTGAACCATTATAACGGGGGGCGGAATAGTTCCGCAAGAGGGGAAATAGAAATTTAATACTTTGTCATTGACAACTTTTTCTGTGAGGCCTTGAGCTACCATTTTCGCCAAAGTCTTTTCCTTCGATTGAGCTTGTCTCGCTAACTTGGCGGAACCGTGACCAAATCGAGCAATATAATTTTTCATATGCGCAATTTGATCCTGTTCCCAATTATATTGTTTCACTTGATTCTCTAGTAATTCCATCCTAATTTAAACAGTTCATATTAACTATATCGATGTTTACTTTACATTTATTACTTTCGGAAGATTTCATTATTATTATTAACTTACCTTGTCTTCACAAAGGCTTCGTAATTACCAGTGTAGTATTTTAATTGTTTCTTATTGACATGAATGATATTTGTACAAATGCCATTAAGGAAGTCTTGCGAATGAGAAATGATGACGAGAATTCGTTTATAAGTCTTCAACTCTTCTTCCAACCACACGCAAGCATCAAGATCCAAATGATTGGTAGGTTCGTCGAGTAACAATAAATGAGGTTTCACATACAAGGCTCTGAAAGAAAATGTTTTCACTCCATACACTAGTTTCCGCTTTAGTGTCCGTAGTTGGGACCAAATTTGGATGTTTATATGGAGAGGTGACTTCTTGAAATTTAAATAAAGAAAAGGGAAAGGATGAGCGAGATATCGGTACCCAGTACACGTAAAAGTGCACTTGAGCATCAAATGCCTTAGACACAAGCTAAAAGAAAAAGGTAAGACATACGAACGTCCGTCGAGAAGACGTTCTGTTACTAAAAATTTTACTAACATTGTAAACATTATATCAAGTTTCATATTAGTTTTCTCGGATCGTTCAAAGTTCATTCCGAGGTCCTATTTCCAAGAATTGGTGGGGATAGCAACGGACGCCTAAGCGGGGAAAAGTGTAGACGCTAAAGCGGAGACTACTGTAGTTGTTACAATATTTTAAAATTATTTTTATAGCTTTTTGTACCTAGCAAGAGCGATTCGCATTCGCCAACCTCCGGAAAAGTCTTTGGTGGGTGTCTTTTGCATTTTTGCAGTGAAACCCAATCCATGCAAAATATGAGCAGCGCGAGCTTGGGCCGTGTCGGCCGACATATCTTCCAATCTTTCGTAAACATCCATGAGCTGTTCCTATTTAAATAAAATTTTCGTTTTGGTTCAATTTTACGTCGACGAATGTAAATATTAAATTTAAAATAATATAAATAGAAACGCACTTGAGCATCTTCCTCATCGCATTCCATCAATTCTTCTGCTAGTTTCTCTAACCGAACGCGCTCTTCATCTACCTCCATTACACACTCTAAAGCTGTTTTATCACTAGCAGGCATTTCTCTAGTCAAGTGAAAGATATCAATTTGTTGGGGAATAGGAACTTCACGATTTCCAAGTACGGCTAATAAAGTAGACTTTCCAGACCCATTAAGACCAAGTAAACCATAACGTCTACTACAATTCAATTCTAACATAGTATCCTGTAGAAGCTCACAGCCGTGGAAAGTTATAGAAAAGTTAGATATCTTTATGTCTCGACTACGTGGATGCGAAGCCAATGAACCTGTGCAAGAGCGTGCTTCTGCATTAAGTCTAGCGTCTGCTTCCAATTTCAGACATAATGCCTCTGTAATGATCAAGGGAGATTCAATTAGATGGGATGTAGAATTGACATAAAATATTTTCAGTTTTACCTTCAGTACTGATAGGGGGGGTTCCATTGGTTCCGTTTTGAAGGGCCCCTGAACCAGGACTGCCTTCTTTGCTATCTTCTGCAGGTTTTGTTTGATTGGTTTGGAGTGGTTTCTTCCCAGATTGTCTAGCCTTAGCGGCTTCCTTCTTTTTTTGCTGTTGTTTCTTCTTTGCGTCGGACGGCATGGTTCGTCTGAAATTTCATGAAACACTTCTAGCGTCGTTACTACGTAAATTTATGAAATTCGTACAGATGATATGAGTTATGTAAGCTGCAGGTTAGGAACACGATCGCACGTGCGTTCAGGTGGCAAATTGAGACGATGCAGTAACGTTGAATTCGAAAATCCGAAAAATTTCCATTGCCGTAAACGGCTCGTTACATGAGACAACGAACGAGAGAAACAAAGATGGACAGAAGGAGAGAGAGGGACAAAGTGGGGCGATGGAAAGAGGAAGGCAGACAAGAAGGTTCATTTTTTGTCGCATTTCTTCAGTATCCAAGCGCGGGATTGAAAGTAACTTTTTCGAAAGTAATTCAGTTGCATATAGCTAGCATTCGAAAAATGAAAACGAAAGTTAAACGAAGGCAAAAGGGTACAACGATTTGTAAAGGAGAAACGAAACACCACCAGTCGAGACAAAAGGAACTTTGATTCAACGTTGATGTTGAAACATATTAAAATTACACAATGCTTAATGACGCGCGTTATTTCTCGTTTTTCTTAATCGATGTTAATCTTACTGATCTTAGAATACCTTTGAGAAATTACCTAGTTGTGCGCCAAAAATCGAACGATCCGTGCAACACGCGAACACACGTGCATGGATAAAGGCAAAGCCGTCAAAATGACAACGTTTGTTGGATCGTTCGAAAGATGGTACCACATGTACAGTGGAAAATTTGCGGGGGAATTCGCCGTATGAAACTAAAACTAGTAGGTACATCGTTGCGATATTAAGGAAATAATCACATTCGAATTGTAAAATATGAATATGTAAATTTACGAAAAGAGTTGTGATGTTTGCTTGAACAATGACGAATTTCGGAAGGTGTGTAGGATTGAGGAAGAATTTTGGATTCACGGTATAACGAACGAAAAATCTGTGGACGATGGAGTTGCCACCATGATAGAAAAAAGTGTGGCGAATTTTGAAGAAATTTTACATCAGAAGGATCGACCTGGTTGTAAGTAATCCTAAGTAATTCATATTTATTTCTAATCATTTGTAGTTGCATTCGTATATTAATTAGCGTTGCAATGTATATAAATTGTTGAACATGAAGACTATCTGAGAATTGAAGGTTAAAAAAGCTTTCGATTTGTATAAATGTTTGTTAGATCAAGGCTATTCGGAAATGTTTTCCTTTCATAGTGGAAACATATCTAATTTAAGAAATTGTCTAGTTGTGCTTAAAAAATCGAAAAATCCGTGCACAACTATACACGCGAGCACGGATGAAGACAAAGCCGTTATAATTTAAAAATAACGGTTGCTGGATTGTTCGAGAGATGGCAGCACGTATACAGCTGAAAATTTGCGAGGGAATTCGTTGCGTGAAGTTGAAACTTAGTCGTTACAATGTTGCTAAAGAGACAGCTACGTTCGAATTGTGAAATTCGTATGTGTATATAAATTTGTGTAAAGAGTTATGACGTTTGCTCGGATGATGACGAATTTTGAACGATCTGTAGGATTCTGGTAGAATGTTGGATTCTTGGTACGAGAAACGAAAAATCTTTGCAGGATGGAGTTGCTGTCATGGTGGATAAAATGTATGGCGAATTTTGAAGATGATTGTCTAATTGTAAGTAACCCTAAGTAATTCTGCTTTGTTTCTAATTATTTGTAGTTGTATTCATATGTTTTTTAGTAATGATTTTTAGAGTTTAATTATAATTTCGTAATTTCGTTTACTTAAATTTAAAAAAAAATAAGTCCGTATATTTATGCGCCCGTATATAATAGTGATAAGTAAAAATGAATCGATTTTTAATCGTTGAAACGAATATGCGTTCTTGTGCAATCTGTATAAAAACTTACATACGTGTAATTTAGAGTAGAAACACATGCAAAGTAATGAAAGAACAATGTAACAAAGATTTTTTTTCAGAGAATAATAGCAAGTTGTTTAAATCGGTTGTAACTTTTATAATTGCATTTGGCTTCGTTGTAACGGATCCAATTAATGTTTCAAAGAGTGGCGCTCTAAAAGGTGAAATTTTATTTGAATATTCGCAACAAAGACGTTCATTATTAAAGTCTGAAAAGTACTTCTCGAGAAAATGGTGATTCAATTCTACGCGTCGTCAAAATTTCGAGAGTACTATGTTATATAATTTTATTTATAATTTCTAAAGTGGGATTTTCGAATTTTTCTTTTGATTTTTTGTTAAATTCTTTAATCCAATTGAAATTGATGGATCCTATCCAGGTTCAGTTTCCTTGCAACAACTCACTGTAAGAATTAATTGTTTTAGGTCGATGGTTGACTGTATTATAAAATAAACAAAAAATAATGATCGTTTGAAGCAACGATTGTTATAATGTATGTTGATAATTGAGACGTTTACCATAGTTTGGTAACGTATCGACTCTGAACCCTGTAGGAAATACAAGTCTCGGGAAAAACCAGGCCATAAGAATCGTATTCTCCTTTCCGAGGTTACGTCGTTCGAATTGCGAGCCGGTTAAAGAAGTGTGTTCTGATGAATGAACGAATGGATAAACGGCGGCGGTAGGGGGTGTTTAAAAGAAGAGACGGACTTGCGCCCCTGCGGGTCCGAAGTCTGTCGGGTCGATGGTGGGGGCAAGGAGGGCGTAGGATGTAGGCGAGGGAGGGGCTGTGGGCTTAATTGCACCGCATCACAGAACGTAGTATTTCGTAGTACGTAATGGTGGGGGCGTAATGCATCCTCGGTCGTGCTCATCCTCGTCGACGGCGTAGTCGTCGGCGTCGTCGTTATTCGTATGTAAGCTGCACGCTTGTCCGAATCGACGTATACTTACCAGTGACGTACCTAGACGCTGCCCAATAGGTGCTCTGGTAACCCCTTATTTGAAAATTCGATTCTCAGTCTTGAAAGCTTCCAACCTAATTAACGCGTTCACTGACCAACCAAATCGTTTGGTTTTCAGGAAATTAGAAACCACTTAACCTAAAATTTGGGGTAATATTAATTTTTGAAATCTCATCGAAATTTATAAATCCTATTCAAATTTAATTTTGGGCTGTCCAAAGTAAATCTGTATTTATTGATACAATAAGCTGCTATTATTAATGATGGATGAAAATTGTACATGTACATGTTTTCAGGGTATACAGGGTGTTCGGCCACCCCTGGAAAAAATTTTAATGGGGGATTCTAGAGGCCAAAATAAGACGAAAATCAAGAATACCAATTTGTTGATGGAGACTTCGTTAAAAAGTTATTAATAATTAAATTCAACAATTTCAAATCGTTCTAAAAAAATTATTTTCGGTTGCGGGGGTCAATTACAATCATTTTTGGTCCTTACAAATACCTCTGAAATCCTACGCACTTTCGAGAAAAAAATTCTTTACTGAAAATCTAATTAGGTGCCTTTTTTTGACGAAAAAGAAAAATTTCAAATCGTTCTGGAAAAATTATTTTCAGTTGCAGTGGTCAATTACAATCATTTTTGGTGAATAGACATACCTCCGAAATCTTACGCATTTTCGGGAAAAATATTCATTACGGGCGGAACTTTACACGTTAATAACTTTTTAACGAAGTTTTCATTAACAAATTGGTATTCTTGATTTTCGTCTTATTTTGGCCTCTAGAATTCCCCATTAAAATTTTTCCCAGGGATGGCCGAACATTCTATTTATTTCATTATTAGAGTGTACCTGTTGAAAGAATTATGAAGAATTCGACTACTTCGTCATCAAGGAGATCACGATCATCATTAGTCTATCGTATGGAATTGAAGAATGTTTGGGGATTTTCAATATTGTCGAGAATTGATTGAATCTAAGATACTTAAAACTTAGTGGTAACTGCCGATACTAACAGTCCATTCTATTAATTTAGTAGAAAAGGTGTAAGCTGTAGAATGATTATTTGGATTGTAAGGTGTTTTAGAATCTCAAGAGTCTCGTGGGGCTGGACACTCTTAGAGAATCTAAGACGCTCGAAAGTTTTGATAGTCTTGTAGAGCTTGATGGATGTTAGGAGTCCTGAAGTATCCTTCTGCTTTTCTTAGCAGCTAAACTTCCGACGAACCTAGAACTTTCTATTCCTTGTTATCCACTTTTTGGAACTCTATATGTACTATTTGTTAATCTAAAGTTTCGATTGAGATCAATATTGTCATACTGTTCTTTATAAGTAATAGTTTAAATAGTTTCTTTAATATCGAACTAAAAATCTGGATACGTCTTTCAGACGGTCGTGCAGACGCTGATCTGATTCGAATGGTAAGTTCAAGGATTACGGACTCTTTATAACGTATTAAGACATGTATTTTAGGATTCTGGACGTCTTCTAGGAGTCCAATTTTGAACGACGTACTCGAAGTGTCGTTCATTAGTCAGTGGTAGGGGCTGGAATCGCCGGAACGACGATAATACGGACCAATCGGCAGGACGTACGACACCGACGTAATAATCGATCGGTTGAGACGTTTGACACACTTTTCGAAGCGGACAACGATTAATTTTTGACGATGCAAATCTGTCCCAGGGAGAGATACCAGCGGAATGGGGTTTCGTGGAATAACTTCATTTGGCGAAACCTTTGTTTGTTAATAAATAGTCTCAGACAGATGGTCAATTCTTCTAGATATTCTTCAGACCATGTCTCTTTCAATTATCGTTTGTTTCTTTCGCTAAAAAATTACCTCAGAAATACAAAATTCGGTTCGATAAATGAGATACAAAATCAACTTGAACAATATTTTGCTAATAAATCAGGGAAACTTTGGAAATATGCTGTCACGAATATTATAGAATATTGTAGAATGGATCGTACATAATTCAATAATATAACATGAAACATCAAAGATTGTACGTCTCGTATTTAAAGTAACGTGAAAAGAACTCTTGGGACAATAAGTGGACTTTTATTTGTACGATGTCCAACTTTGCTAGGAAGGAGTGTGTTTCTTAATCCAAGGGAGGTTGGGTTGTGTTGTCACGTCCCTGCGGTTCGTATGCGTGACGCGAACCCACACGCGAGCACGTGCGCGCGTTGTCGCGTGTCACCACCGTAACCCTCGAGTACATCGGGGAGTTTCACGACGGACGGGGTCGCGACTGAAAGGAAGGGGCTGAAAAAAGGTGTGAATGCCGAATGGCATTCATTCAAATGCCGTCCAATCACAGCATCGTACTCCAGGTCGCGTGGCAGGGCCGGGCATACACCGGGAATTATTAAGTCCTCGCCGATTCCGCGTCG